GTAATAGGGATGGGTGTGTCAGAGGCAGTGCGGTTGGCGCAGGATAGAGCAGGGTTTAGGGCTGTTGTGCATAGGGTCGCTATGAGTCGCAAACGACTTGACAGCACATAACAACAAACAACAGCTAAGAGTCAAGGCCACCCATGCACCATTTAAATCCAAAATAGGACAATAGGGCAGAAAAAATATTTTTTTTAATTCATTTTTTTAAAATTTAGTTTGTTTATTTTTCATTTCAATGAACATCTACAGAGATTTTGGAATTCCATTCATTCATTGTTGCACCCTTCCCGCACAAACCCCTCCCCCCCTTTGCTCCTCTCCTTGAAAAGCAAAAGAAAAACTCCCTCATTGGTACACAATCCCCCCGTACCTCCCCAAACCCTACTCCCTACCCCCCCAAAAAATCCACTTCCCAACCTTCATTGCGTACTCCTACGATAAAAATAATGCCCTAAAATATAATACTTTTAGACTATTCTCTCCTCCATAGACTTCAATGCTGTAAACATATTTCATCCAGTTTTTCTCAGTCTTACCCCCACCCCAATGCCAGCCTCATTCTACAACAGTGGCACCATATAGCATTTGTCCCTTTGTGAGAAAAAAAGAATTTAAAAGTAGAATCCTATTTTATGATCAGGAAGCACTCGTGGCAAGAAGCTGCCTTGTGATTCTTTTTTTTTTTTTCATTTCAATAAACATCTACAGAGATTTTGGAACCAACCAGCTGCTCCGGGGGAAGATGGATGGACAATCTCCTCCTGTGTGATTACCTGCCTTTGAAAAAGCGCTGGAGGGTCAACTTTGAATCGGTTCCAACTCGATGGTAAAAAACAACAACAAAATAATTATCATCAGTTGATTTTTGACACCAGAACCGTTATAATTCAGTGAGAAGAGGGTAGTCCTTTCAACCAATGGTGCTGAGTGAACTGAGTATCTGTACTGAAAAAAAAAATCTATTTCTACTTCCTCGTATACAGAAATATAATGTACCACTTGAGTGATTGCTGCTGTTAATGTTCCTCCAGAGCTGTCTCCTGCAATACATATTCGGTGGGGATCCACTCCGTATTTTCTAAGAACTTCATCCTGAAGAAAATATTTTACTGCACTGATGGCATCTTCAAGCTGAACAGGAAAGTGATACTGAGGAGCTAGTCTGTAGCTATAAGAGAGAACAATCAAGCATATACATCGTTATCAAGAAATCATTTAACATTTGCGATCACCCAACACTTTCCCTGCCTCACCTCATTTGGCTCCACCCCAGTGCCTACACGTCTGGGCAATCAACTTGCCTTTAAACAGGAGT